ATCATCATTAATCTTTCGTTGACAGATTATCTATTTAAATTCTACATTATTCAAAATCTAATTTATATCTAATAATTACAATTTTCAGTTTTATATTTCTATAAATATATGTCAATAATTTGAATTCGTCTGAAAGTATAGATTGCTTTGACAAAATATCTTAGTACAAGAGTTCATCAACAAGTTACAGGCTTCAAAATTGAAAGATTTATTAAATAACTTCAAAATTTACCAACAATTTAGACGATCCTATCAATTTAAATGACACTTTCCTTTCATTTTTAGCTAAAGCAGCTTCATTGTAATAAGATAACATTTTATGTTGAATTTCGTTAGAAAATGACTTCTTAACAATTCAAGAGTTTTATAACTATTAAGTACCATTGATACTAAAAATTAAAGATTATCTACAACGATATCTTTATTCGTATAATCTTGTGTGATTTATAGAGTGGTCAACTTTCGTAACGGGTACTTTTTCACCATTATTGCATTTAAAAGATATCTTTGTTGATAACATGTTTTTTTCATCCTGTTCTTAGGGACAATCCTGCTTTCCGTCATACATGTAAATGAAGACGTCATTTTCTTTAAATGAAACAAGCCTAGCATACTTTTTCAATAATTGTTAAAACTGAAATCTTTCTATATATAGACTCATGAATTTTATTCTGTTGTATGTAAATCATATATTAATTTTATTTCAGAAATAGATTTGTCAAAGATCGTGTATACATAAAAGTTTTACCTCTTAAATGTACTGTTAATGTGTTATTAGGCAAGTATAAATTTACAAACTTTAATGTAAACGTGACATATTTTATTCATAAGAATGAAACGGAAATAAATATAAGTGCCAGCGCATAAAGTAGCATTTCGAGTTCTTGAAAACAGTATCCCAAACGTTTTTTTCATTAATTTATCATCCTTTATTTAAATTCTTCGCCGTTTTAATTTAGCACTCAATTGTGTGCCAGTTTTTTGTCACATCCGCGATAACATCACAAAGCACTGCCATGAAGATATACTAAGCTGATAGGTGCTATCTATGGTAATAATACTTATAATTTACTTAGAGACATTGCAACGGCATATTGGATGCAGGCTAGGCTATTATCTGTTGTTTACTAATAGAGAAAGATGCTTCTCTCATATTGCTTTTTGAAATTTTCTTCTCTTTAATATAGTTTAATATGTCACTTCATTTAAAAACCTTTACTTCAATTATCTATAATCCTTATCAATAGAATCCGTCTAGTTATCATTATTCTGTGTGGAGTTTACTATACTCTATTGCAAATAGAGAATGTTCACGTTTCAGTTCACCTAATCATTTGATCAAGGGAGCTGCATAGAATAAGTCCATTGTTTTTAAGCAGCAAAGGAGAAAAAAATACCATTTTATAGAGAAAAGAAATATTTTAAATTTAAGAGAAATTCAAAGATTTTCAATGTATTTACTTCTGAGAAAACATTTCATATCTCATCAATATTTGCAGTAAAACAAAATATATTTCCGATTGCTGTTGAAGAAAAATAGTGCAAGAATGTTGAAATACTAAGCTTATGGAAGAAGATAAAGATTATGTTGTGGAAGTCTCGCAGGAGAGCAAAATTTAAGATCTTAAAAACCTTGAATATTTCTTTAAAATCATTGTAATGGATACGTCATTTTGAATTTATTGATAAATGTCTTTTAGAGCTGTTATATTGTATTTGGATTTAGAATGCTTATTCTTTCATGACAATGTACATTTATAAGAGACACGTTTTTCATTTTAAAGATTTATCTTCTTCTCGTTTTCGTTCTCAATCAGTCAAAGAAAGCAAAGAATTGATAGAAGATTCGTCCATAAAAACAGTTGTAACGTAATAACTACCGAAACTCGCTGAGTTTTAAAGTTACAGAATAAATGCATAAAGCGACTTAAATACTTAAAGCAACTACATAATTATTAACATAACTTTACAGTGAATGAGCTATATTAAATTATTAGAATAAGGGGATGCTACAGTAACTTTAATGATACATAGTGGACACCGTTATACGTAAAGACGTTATGAAATGTAGACGGAGCTATTAGTATAACTCCAAGTATATCTTACAATATATATTTTTTTGTGCGTTTTCAAATAGAATATCCAGATGGATTATTACTTTATTAAAGTACCAAAATCTCATGACTTATATTTGGAGAGAAAGATATCAAGTTAAAATTATCCAACTAATCAAAAAATGATGTTTCTTAACTTTGTTTAAATAATTTTGTGATTTTTATATCATGATAATTTCTTATTGATTTTATAACTCTCAATCTTCATTAGCTTATCTCTCTATGAGAATGACAAACTAGAGAATTTGAAAGCTCTCTTTGATGAATAAATCAAACAATAAATCAAACAATACACCTATTCTACTTATTATCAATTAAGCTATTACAACTTGAAGGAAATCTCTCCACGTTCGAAACGCCCTATAGGTTTGGAAAGAGAATCTTCAAGAGAAAATATCCATCATCAATAAAAAAAATATTACTACTTCCACCAATAAATAACTATTTTACAATTATATTTCCCATTAACGATAAATACAATTTCGCAATTGATGAAACAAATAATTTTGAATATATTCAATCATAATAAATCTTTCCCTGACAACTTTTCACTTTAAAGGTTACATCGTTTAACATCTAATACATTTATATCAATTACAATATAAAAATAACAAAAATCCACATTATCTGACTTAGAATAGTGAATTTATGTCTTTCTCTACAAATTCAGTTTTATGTTGACGTGTTGATTGCTTCGATAATAAACTTTCATTCAACAAGAGTGATATTTCTTTAATTTGCCTATACGACAACACTTTTTGAATTGACTGATTCAGTTATGAAGTGAGAATCTTCATATTCGTATTTGTATATATTAGTACTTCCAATTAAGTTATGTTACCCAGTTGTCGAAACAATTTGAATTCGGTTAAATAAGGAAAATCAATGCATAGTAATTCTTGTTATTAGTCTCCATAAGTGCTTAAGACATCTATTGATTGATGAAAGATAGGTCAATATATCCATTGATACAAAAACGGAGGTACGGAAATTTATATAGGTACAGAAAATTAGTTGTTAGAATCTCATTACTTTCATTGACGCATTCAATAAAAGTCGTTATAAATTCTATCAATTGATCAACATTTGATCATAATAATTTAGGAAACAACTTCTTAAAATGAATTTTTCTTGATGGAATGAAAAAAATAATTAGAAAAAAGATTATCGAGAATTGGTTATATGCAAAGTGGAAGAGTAGTGAATTTAATCATCGCCTTAAACGCAATTTATAAAAGAATCAAATACAAATTAAACTGAAAATTGCATTAACTGTAACAGTACATAAATTTTGAACATTAAATTTTTAGCTTTTTGAAGAACGGAGAATATTTTATTTTAATATATGCGCAAAAATAGTATAGTATACAGATAGATAGAAAACCAGCATATAAATTTCTGGTAGATAAATGTTTGTCATTACTCTTGTATAGACTTGCAGGTTTGCCATTCGCTATAACGTCCTCCTCCCCTCCCCTCCTATCCCATCCTTTCCCTTTTCAGTATATTTAAATATTTAAAAGGGAAATGCTACTATTTTAGAAATTATTTTAGCATATATTTATCAAAAGGAATTTTCATTAGCAGTTAGATAATCTCTTTGAAATCAGAAACATCACGTTTGATCGCAATAAAACTGAAGTTTCAATTTTATTATTCTCTTTAATATATATAAAACCCTTTGATAATCTTGATGCTTCAAAATTACAGAGAATGATCTCATTTTCAACATAATCTTTATTTTATGCATTGAAATACTTTTTATAGTTTTATATCGCAAGTTGAAAGCCAAATGAAGTATATTAAATTAAATGGATCACCTTAGCACCTTTGTTACATGCTTACAACATTACAACATTTTTATTCAATTCTTTTTGTAAGTATGTACTTTCCTTTTTGTGAATACTGCTTTTTTGGCCTAACTCTTAATTATTACAATCCGAATCCATATAAGTTTATTTTGCCTTTATCTAAATATCCTTTATAGTAACAGATTTATGTTGTATTGTAGGAGATGTCTAAAATTTATGATCCAGTTTCCAGCTTTTTTCATTGATTTTCATGAAGAAATTTAAAAACGCTTCTTATTACTTAGATTACAAGGTAAGACAATAGTATCTAATTTTCATTAAGGTAAACGAATAGAGTAAATTATTCGAACAAAATACATTTTGATACACAGAATAGAGCTAACTTCATAAAAATGAAACAACACAACTTGTCCTTATTCAATCTAAGCTTGTCAATTGAAAGAAGTCTATATTCATGGAAAGTATATTTACGATGGCATAAAAAAATTGTCCAAATGGATTAGATGAAAAAAAACTGTCAAAAGCGAATGATAATTTATGAGTTCAACGAAATTTTGCGACAGATAAAAGTAATGAAATGAACTGTGGTAAATATATCTTTATATTCCCTAAAAACGTATTAATATCACTTATATCTAAAAGGTAAAAATCATTCATTTTTCTCGGAAATAGGTTTTACGGCGAAACTCTAACAATGATAACGAATTGCTATTACAATAACTTACAATGTCTTTTGTATTCTAAAATATGTGAAAGTTGCAGGACCGCTGGTTTATGTTATTAGTAATTGTTTCAAAATAGTTATGAACTATTACTTGAAATATTGAATAATCTTATTGTCAAAGATAGATCTGATATTTCCAGGAAATTTATCTCTGAATACGCCATATAGAAATAAGAAAGGAATTTGTTTTATTCTTTTTATATTATAACGACCGAATAAGTAAAATATAGTAAAGTACAGAATTATGAAGATTTATTGGCAAACTAAGAAATGACATGAGTTTTACAATTTTTATCAATAAATCTTGTTATTAATTGCCTTTAATTTAATTATGTTCTCTTAACAAAACTCCTATTTAGCTTTGCAAATTCCTTTAAGAAAATCTCCCACAGGTTGTAATTTTACAGGTTTACCATCTACTTCCACCAGGATTTCACAAAATTTTTTAGCAGTTGTTGTTCCACTTTTTAAAGAGCTGTCAAGTATCTATTTTGCAAGATTTAATTAAAATCTAATGATATTTGTAGAAAGGAAAAATACTTACATCGACAGCCACTGAACGGTATTTTCCAGTTTCGCATAGATATTTACAACCTCCTGTAAAGGCGTTTGATTTACCAACATTTTTACAAGTAGAATATTTTGTGGGATTGGAAACTGGTTTGTAAATAAGGAATCTTTCGGCAGGAATGCACGGATTAACTGATACTTCAACTTTTGAAGTGATATTTTCCACACTTAATATCATCTATTTTATAAAGATTACACGTATTTAGAAACATATTTTTTAATTTCTCTAAACTTACTTTAAAACAAGGAAGCCCAGTTTTCATTCCATCCTCTAAGCACGTGTCGGTATAGTTGTCAAATAGGGTATAAGCCATATTATTTAATTGACATTTAAAATTATTGGATTTCGTATTAGCACATACATTTGTACAACCAGAGTTATAATCAAGCCCAACTTTTGGTCTGGTATCTAATAAAGAAAAAACAATGGCAAGGTAGTAAAAGTATCATTATAAAAATTTTGTAACAAAATATGACAAGGAAACAGTATTTAATGAGATTCTTATCCTTTGCCAGTTTATTTTTAGCATCAGGCACATAGGAAATCAATATATCAGTAGTTTTTGTTTTTATGTTATTTTTTTTATAAATTCATACAATACCTTCTGGTTGGCAGCTTCTCTTCTCATAGAAAACAGCGCATTGGCAGTCCTCCGTTTCTTCGGATGAATACACAATGCTACCATTATTTTTCAATAATTCGCATTGCTTCGCGTGAGGTTCATATGTAAAGCCGTAACAATAAGACATAGCATTGCATTCATGAACGCATTCATCAGTTGATTTTACTTCCGTTAGCATTTTTATATAGTTTACATTCTTTGTTTTATCTTTAGTTGACTTGATTATCTCTATTGTCTTATAGGAACGTGGCATATATTTACATTTATCTATGAATGAAATCAGATAATTAAATTTTAGTAGGATATTATAAACGATCTAAAGTACAAATGAATACTTACGACAACTTCCCTTTTCCATTATAAATTTCATTGGTCCGTCTACTTTATTAAATTTATTCCATCTTCCCGTTAGAGTAAAATGAGTGCAAACAGAACCGACAACTTTTCCAGTTTTCTTCTCGTATTGATAACCTCTACAACCTTAAAAAATTGTTGATAGAATCAAGTGAAGTTATATTTTAGATGCATTTCGAATATTTCCAATATAAATACTTTACCCTGAGTTTCATCGCAATCAATTCTGCATTGATGTTCAGTGACAAAACGTCTAACTGTCAGAACTTTACTTCCAGCTTTCAAAGACAAATCGTAGTTATTTTTCGAATAGCCACAACCATCGTCTAGAAAAGAACTAATTGGTAAAGAATAGAAGTTTTTTAAGTAAATAATTACCTACTCTGTTTATTTTCAGGTTTACCAATTAGGTGTGTTAATTTACCAGTTTTTATTGTAGTCTTTGCCGAAGTAAGACAAATTAAGATTTGTATGAAAAAAATTATTATATTCATCTTTACTACCCAACAAATAAGTACCAACTAGTAAATATCTCAAAATTGCAACAGCTTTTCTATTCCTATGTTTTAAATGGAAAGTTTTTTATCATAATTTAAACTAACTCACTTAGTTGCCCCTCTCTCTCTCTCTCGCTCTTTTAAACGGAAATTCACACATACACACGTATATACATATTCATACAAACACACACGCACAGACGCGCTGGCGTGCCTACTTTTTATATTAATACTTCGTATAGACGGTCTTTTTCAAGTTTGCGTGAAACATTCGCGTAAATCTATCAATACTTGCTTTTTTAAAAGTTCTTCCCACCTGTTCAAACTAGCGTGCAATTAAACATTATTAATACTCAAAATTAATAAGGTGTTGATATTTAACGTATTTTAACTTAATCTTTTTTTCATTAACAGAAATATAAATTATAAAGATTTTCATAAAAAAAAAAGAGATTTAACAAAAAGGCCAGAAAAATTAAACCTAGTTTAGTTAGACTTCATACCCAAGTTAATATGAAAGCTGTATGTTATTTCCTATTCTCTATTTTCTATTTAACGATATCAAAAAGTTATCAAACAAAAGTAAAAGGTTCTTTTTAAAATTTTCATTATATTTTTTCATAAGTTAATTAAAATATTTCATTTCTTATCTTTTCGTTAATCTTATTAGAAAGTGGATGCAGTTACGTTAAAAGTGAATATTTTCCTGATGGTAAAGATTATTTATTCGGTAATAGATTAACAATAGAGAAAGAAATTCAATGTAAAATTAAATGTGACCTGAAGAAAAGTAATTAAAATAATTACATTTACTATTTTAATATTTAATTTCTTTATATTTATGTATTATTTTAGAATGTTATGGTTATCTTACTTTTAATCAAAAACCTACAAGTAAAGTTTGTCAGCTGATAACAAAGCCTAGCGTTAACAATATACCAAACTTTAAGAAGGAAAATGGTACTCTCTTCCTAATGAAGGAATCATGCCGTAAGTAATCGTTAAAAGTGAAATGTTCATAAAGATCTTTAGTAATGAATTAATATAATATTTTTGATCTTCTTTAAAGCAAATTGCAAATATAGAAAAGAGAATATTGATAGAATTATAAGTAATGAAGAAAGCGTTATAAAAATATCCTACGGTGAGAGGTTGGCAAATGAAAAAGAATTTGAAGAGCAGTGTGAAGGAGAATGTAATAATGATTTGAATTGTCACGGACTCTCTATTTTCCCTTCAAATAACATTTGTATCCTTTTTAATAAAAACATCCAAAGAAATACCGTTTTTAGAGGAGCATCGGCGAAAAAAACAAATCGGCAATGTATTAAGCAATACAATAAAAAAGCAATTTGTACAAGATCTGGTTTGCTTTCATTTATTAATTACGAATTATTTAAATTATTAAATAATTAAATAATTATTAAATCTGTTTTCTTTTTTTAAATAGCCACTGGTGTAGGATTTAATATTATTATTGTATATATAAAGACTATTCTCCCTTGGAGTGGTAATTGTGTTGGAAAAGTGAAATCTTATTTGGAATTTTTTGACAAGAGGTTCTTAACTATAATTGGCGATAAAAATCCGTCAACCTGTACGGATAAGGCATTAGGCTCTAAACCAAGTTACTTTAGCGTATGTTAAATATATAAAACAAGATAACCATTTGATTCGATAAAGAATCTCATCATCTTATTCTTTTTTCTTTTTTTAGACCTTTCTATTCGCTAGAAATGTTATGAAAAAAGTAGAAATTTCTATTGGTCCTTGCTTAAACAAAAATTATTACGTAATCATGAAAATTGATTCAAACACAGAAAATCCTTATAAAGAATGTACTTTAATGAATTTCGACAAAAAAAGCAATAAATGCTTTTACACTTGTCAACCTAAAGAGAAGAAAACAATAGATGTAACAATTCAAGTAAGTAGAGCACACGTTCGAATGCCTCTTGGCTAGATTTGTACTCAATTGATTTGTTGTCCTAGCTATAAAGTATAAAGAGAATGATATACAGTAGATAAAAACAACTTTCTAAAAAGTCTATTAATTATAATTAACAATAAGGATTTCAATATAGATAAATATAGAAACAATGCTTTGTTTAGTTAAATTTTCTTATCGTTTTACTATAAAAAACCTCAAAAATTCGATAATGAAATATACTTGATATATACAGATAGATATTTTTAACATTATTAATTTTACAATCCTAGGTTTTAAATGAGTAACAAATAAATAGATCATAAAAGTTTATTTCTAAAATATATTCATAAACGGGAAACAAAAATCAAGATAGATAGATAGATAGATAGATAGAGCGAGCGAGCGAGCGAGAGAAAGAGAGGCAGGACGAAAACTTTTTTTCTTTTCAACAGAAAAATTAGCATAGCCTTTTGTATTTTATATTAGTTTTTCGAAGGTTAGAATATATAGAATAAAGTATATACCACGAATGCTCTACAACAAATAAAAGTCTTTAACAACGCATTATAAAATAACACTAGCGTAATACACTAGTTGTTTTTTTTTAACCGAGATATTATACTAATATACTTAAGAATACTTAATATTTTTTTAATTTAAAGTTCTATAGACGATAGTTGTAGCTTCCATTCTTTTCTTTAAAGAAAACTTCTTATATTAATATGGCTATTATAATCTCTTTCTTATTTATAATATACTCTATTCATTTCTTAATTTATTGTTTAAATATTTTATAGATCGATGATCCTGAGAAGAAAGTTGTAAATTTTTGCGATTTAGAGGTCAAAGTAGATGGCGTAGCAGCTGTTATTGAAAATAAATCAACACTTAAAAACGATCAAAGAGTAAAAAGGAGTTGAAAATTAGTTTTAAGACCAAAAAAAATGGATTTAAAGAGTTAAAAAAATGTCTTACATTAAAAAGAACAGTCTCTAAATCTGTGTAAGAACCTTTTTTATTCTTTTAAATCTTAAAATTTATATTCTATTATACAAAAGAGCTAATAAATAAATATTTCAATGCAAAGTATAAAAACTGTTATTGATATCAAATTCACTTTTATATTAATCGGTAGGCGTTTTTTTTTAGTTCCTGTCCCATTGATATTTGTTTATGTTATTTAACGATATTGAATAGAAACCAGGTATCTATAGAACGAATTTATATAACCAAGATGACATGTTATCGTAATATAATAAATAAATTAATCAATATGATAAAAACGTTTAATAAATATAAAATAATTTTTTATAAGCTATTTAACATTAAAAGTTTCCTTTTCTCATTTTATTTGTTACAATTTCATATGTTTTGTCAAAAATTAATTTTCATCTAGTACATCGGCCTACATTATTTAGTCTGATGATCAAATGCTTATAAAACTCTCGGTAGCCTACGTATTACTAAAATGAGCCAATCTTAGGAAAGCTGCACCCGAAAAGCTATATTTTTGTAAAGCATTAATTAATATTACTGATCAATAATGGACTCTTCAGAAATTAGTACAAGCTCTGATTCAGATAAGAGCAAGGTTTGTTATTTCAATGCATTTATTGTAATAATAAAATAGGAGTCTTTCATCATATGTATACAAATAAACAAATATACATTTATATATATATATATATATATGAGTGTGTGTGTCTGCATGCAAATGTTTGCGTATGTTTATGATATAGCAAGTAAAATTCTATTTCCAATAGAAAACTAGAGAAATTATAAATGATATGTATAAAATGTACTTTTTTTTTAAATTGCCTTATATATACTCATATAGAATGAGTTGAATAATTTGTATATAAAAAAATATACCAGGCAATTCCTACAAAATGCTCTTACGTAATATTGCCTAGCTTTTAATCATATTTTAGTTGAAAAAAAAAATGTTTAGTCACGGTCGGGCTAGCCAACTTAAACGCGAACTGTTTACATAACTAGCTCTAGTATTGATCGATTTTAGAATTGAAAGGGCAAATCGTATTAAATTCCAATTATAAGTATAGCCAAATAACTTTTCAACATATAAGCTCTTACTTTTTCTCAACTTTAATCGAGCATTGCACGTAATATTACTTATTTTATATATATATTTGTGTATTCATATTATAAAATTGATGATTTATTTTATGTTTTTTATTAATTTATTTAATTATCTCTTTTTCTTTTTATTCCACAATTAAATTGCTAGTTTATATAATTAGCTGGTATTCTAAGTGGTAATAAGAGATGTAATCTAATAAACATTCCCCTGCTATTGGGACAAATCTAGTGTAAAACACTCGATAAGAAACAGCTTATAAAAAAATATAAATTAAATTCTAGGAGGAAAAGAGTCCAAAGGCATTAGAATCAAGATTTCAGATGGATCGTGTTGCTAATACAAATAAGAATGAAAATAAGAGGAGAAGGACATTATTATTTAAAAGGAATAAATTGGATGCAAGTTGGGGCTTTACCATTCAAAGCTATGGTATTCACCATAAGGTAATTTAATTATGATATATAATGTTTTATATTCTAGAGATTTCTATGTTTAGATATTTAGGAGCATAAAAATAAACATTTATAATTGTTTTTACCATTAGATTCATTCCTGAGCTGCTTTAAAAAAAGACTTTTTTAAGCAAATCTATTGTTGAATTTCATATTAGGCATTGATTTTTTTAAAATAGTACTCTTTCATAATAAAAATAGATCTCTTTAATACCTATTTTTCTTTCATTTATATTCATATAAATACTCTTTCTCTATCAATTTTTCTTACCGTCTCTATATCTTATAATCTTATCTTTACGCCCTTTTTTCAATTCTTTCTATTCTATTTTTTTTTAATAAAAAATAAACAAAAAAGACTTCTTTTATTACTTTTACATCTATTCGTAACAGTTCCTTTTGACTACAATTTTTTACTATAGTAAAATAAATACTAAATAATCGATTATACAAGATTTATCCATTAACTGGGGAAAAAAATAAATATAATTAAATTGAAATAGATTTTAATTAATTAATGTATTTTAACAGAATACGAATGAACTAGAGTTCCTTACATACGTCGATTATATAGAACTTAGAACTCCTGCCCATTTTTCTGGCTTAAGAACTGGTAAGTTAATTGTAAAAACAAAAAAAACTACTTTTTTATACTTTGTTTCATATTCTTTCAAGGTTTCTGAACGTAAAGGCTCTGAACCATTTTTAATTTAATTTAATTTTTTGAGCGCCATCTATCGGTTATATATATATATATATATATATATATATATATATATATTAAAATATGTATATTTATATATTAATATACAGGATATATATAGTATTCATTTATTTGTTTATTTGGCATCCGTATCTGCAGATTTAACAGAATATATCTAGATTGTATACAAAAATTTATATAAAAGGGAAATTGAAATGTCAGACTTGTGTTGTTTGTGTAATTTATTCTACTGACATAAATTCTTTAGAAAGTAAAATTATTATTGAATGTGAAAGATACGCAGTATAATCCGATAAGATTATACAAAAGTCCCTATATAGAATGCAACTTACAAGTTTTCAAGATGGTTGAGTCCTTTACGTCAAGTTGAATATATCTATTGACGTCTTCCTACAAGAGTGCTTTCTCTTTCCTAGGTGACGTAATTCTTTCGATAGATGGGATGGACTTTTCTGAAGTCGATGATCCGGAAGACTTAGTCCGATTTATTAAAACTCGAGCTTATTCAATGCGGTAGTATTCACTTTTGATAGGTCTTCAATGGGATAATCGCTTTAACGTGTTTTATTTTTTCTTCTCTAGTATGGTAGTCTTATTTGAAGATTGCGTAAAAAAGGTTGAGTTACATCTAAGAAGAATTAAATTGGAAAAATTATTGAAGGAAAAAGAAATAGAATTGCAGCGCTTACAAAATTTCGAAAATGAGATTATATCGAGTAAGTAGAATCGAAAAAACCTATATATATATAGAAATCGATTCATCAATATCTTAAAATAGATAGAGCTTTTATCAACAAAAATTTTTAATATCCTATAAGGATTTGCTCTTAAGTTGTTACTTTAAATATTTCCTCTTTTTAACCCATCATTTCTAAAAACATATGTATTGATCTTCAGGAAACTTATGGCATAATGCCTCAACTTTGGATGGATCAAAAAGTGCGCTCTATATAGAAAGGATGAATAGACGAAATAGAAAACACGAAGAGCCATGCGTTCAATCAACGCCTAACGAAAAACTGATAAAAAATCGTATAAAATCCTCAGATTTTCTAGGGGATGATTTCAGATCTAATAAGAACGTGCCGAGATTAATGTCATTTTCCAAACGCCATTCAAATGCTACTTGTTTAGTTAATTCCTTTTCTCTAGAATCTAGTCAAAGTTCTGTCATCTTCAATTGCTCAGAAACCGATTTAGAGACGCCAATGTAACGAAATATCTCATTAAAACGTTAATAATACTAAAACTGGCAGGAGAGAAATGAAGAAAAAAAAAGAGAGAGAGAAAAATAGAAAAATTTTTAAACTTTTGCTGAAAGAAAAAAGAAATCAAAAAGAAATCAAAAAGTAGAAAATTTTCAACAAAAAGATAAAAAGAAAATACTAAGAATAACAAATCTTTAACCTGCAAGAAAATGAACTAACATTGTATATTTTTTAAATATGATCTATTTTCTCTTTAATATTTTTTTTTCTTTTTTTTGCAGTTGCTTTTAAGTATATTTATGCCTTGTTTGACAAAAAAGCGTTACAAATTAAACGACCCTTTATATATACATTTATACTTTACAAACTTTGAAAAAAAATGAAATATGAAAGGATTTTGTTTAAAAGTTTAAAAAAGATTATACATGAATTTCTATTTTTAAAAAGTTTATTAATTAAACTAGGTTAATTGATTTCTTTTTATATTATAATTAGACTTATGATTCATTGGAGAGTGAAAACTGCACTATTTTGAAAAGAACGATAATGCCAAAGTGCAAGTGTAAAAACTTGAAAAGAGAATTTATATTCATAAGTCTTAGATAGACGACGTTTTAAATTTGTCGTTTTCTGACATAATAGATTGGCACTAAGATTTAAACGCCTTGTTTCATTCTTTACCTCTTTTCCTCTTTTCTTTTAGTTTTCCATTTTCTAGTGCATATCGTCAGATCTATTTAGCTCTCTATCCTCTTTCGTTGTCATATAATTCAGATGCTATTAATGATATTTGAGGTTTCTTAATTTCTTCCGCAAAACTAATGGCAAATCATGTCTACTTTTACATTTTATTTAATTGATACAAATTAATAACATACCTGGAATAATTGTTACATAGTCTTGCATATCTCAAGTTAAAGACAATGCAAATAGGTCTATAATAACTTATTAATTTAATAAATACAACGCTGATGAGTAAACTACGTTTAGGTAAGTTTGTCGAGGAAGAAAAGCTATATATATATTTATTTTTTTTATGTATGTGTAATAAAGACGAAACGTAGAAAGTATAATAGCGTTTATACGGAAAATAGATAGTAAAGCAGGTAAATATATAGTTACGTTTATTCTTGAGATATTCTCCCTCTAAAATTTCAAGTTTACAGGATCATTTTCAAATGTACTTGAGATACTCGAAAGATATTTTTCCCTGTTAAAATTCATTCTATCCCACGGATAAGATAACAATTTAAAAACGTTATAAATATTGATAGTTAACTTAGATTTTTTTTGGATATTAGAACATCAATATCTTATAAATTGTTGATATTTTATAAATAAACTAGTAGATTTATCATCCCCGATGAAGAAAGTACTAAGAGTAGAAAGTTTCCTATTAATTGTATAATGTACTATAAAGCAAATTAACTAAATTTCTAACAGTTTGGAAATAGGTTAAAGGTTTTTCATTATGGTTTTTTTTTCATTAATAATAAATGCCTTTTCCATCATTAATATATCCTTATTTCTTCACCTAGTCTAATAAGGTCATAAACAACAAAATAATAATATTGTATAATTCATATGAAACAATTCGAAAATAATGAGAATATTGCGGATCTTTAGTTTAACACAACTATGAATATATTTATAAAATAATGATTTCTAATAACGCTTAACAAATATGTTAAAACGTGGTGACGCTAAAACTAAACGGCGGCTAGTTAACTGGTATCAACAGTAACAGATAATTAGCATATAGAGTATGAAAGCGCCATCTACGACCTCTGATTGAAAACTACACTGCTTCCTTCATTCTGTTTAGAGACTTTCAATGGAATATTTAGTTTGATAAGTAGAAAACTGCGGTATAAGATATAAAGTATATTTACAGTTGAAGAGAATCGTATAGTGAAATATTTAAAATATTTAAAAAAGTTAATTACTATCAGGCGAGGAAGGAAAGATGTAAGATGGATCAGGAGATAAGGATGGAATATAATACCTCAGACTCAAAAAATCGACCTTATGTTCGAAAGGAAGTTGTTTTTATCTTTTACTCAAGCTTTCTACTGCTTGGTTTCATCGGAAACATTTTAGTCATTGCAGCAGTTATAAAATTCAAGAAATTATTCCGGAAACAATCAATTGCTAATAATTACATTTTAAATCTTGCTTTTGCTGATATGCTCTTCATCCTTACGATGCCATTTTTTATTGCATCAGCGGCAAACAAACAATGGGAAATGAGTGATGTTTGGTGTAAAATTGGAAATTTCTGCCGAGAGATCAATAAATTTGCCAGCGTCTTTACGTTAATCGTATTGAGTTTCGATAGATATTTAGCGTCCTTTCCTGCTAAGGGTCATCTTAGAACTACTGGTATTGGTAGTATGGTCTGTGGGCTTATTTGGATTTTATCTTCTTTATTGTCAACGCCTTACGTGATGTATGCCCAAACTGTTCAATTCGAAGTAATTCATAAAGTTTCTTTGAAAAAAAAATCTTATGTTATATCTCTTTAATTTAGACTTTTCTGAATTTGCCATTAAGAAAAATCTATATAAAATTTCACAAAAAAATCCGATAAGAGATAAAGGATTAAATAGTTCTTGGCAAAATATTTTTGCCGTTAAACATGCTGATTATTCTAATCTTTAGCCAAAATGATACCACTTGAGTCGTAGATAACGAGATGAGTTTTTCTCTATGGTAAGTTTCTTTTTTACCCTTGTTAGTAGTTGACTTTTCGTTGGCTTTGAGTTTAGAATTTTAATAATCTAAAAGAATATACCATTATTTCTTTCATCTTAAGTTTAAAAATAGTAATAAATTTATCAATTACCTTTTAATTATACTAAAATATTTATTGATTGGATAATTTTATCTAATTTCCTTTTCCTTAAATTCATTATTAATTCTGAATAGCATTAAACATTTCACTTACCCTACTAAATCCCTTTCCACCTTCGAACTTTGAAGTATTTTACCATTTTCCCTCAAATTTGATTTATGTACTTTAAGTTTTAGCTTTACTGAAACGTTACATAAAATATAACCCTCTTTAGATTAAACCAGATATAGAAAAAACCTGAAAAGGCTTATTTATTCACATGCGAAAAATCATTGATTAAAATTTTATAACACAAAACTTAGGGTATGGAACACTTCAGAGCACCTTACATCGATTTCGTAGAAGGAGATATACTTACTGTATGACGATGATAAATTACTATCAGCAAGAGAGTTGAAAAGAATATTATAGATATTCCATACACTATATGACTATGCAGTACAAGAATCAACTAACCTTACTCTATAATTTTTCAATTATACAAAAAAGTTGATCAAATATCTTGTCTTTAGAGTCCTTTTCTTACAAAATAACTCTAGAAGGTGTTATCCGTCTTCTTTCTAGAAGAAATGCAGTTTTTTTCCTTATCTTATCTAATTTGAAAGCAAAAGAGACAAAAGTAGATGATATAAAAGAAACTAAATATACAATTAAAGAAACTTTAGAATTATTTTTTTCACATTGAAAAACCAGAATAATTCAAAATCAAATTGCAAAATAGAATGGCCTGATAATAAAGTAGTTTATGAACTCTCCCATACTATTCTTCAACTAATTTTTGGATTAATTTTTCCTATTTTTGCGATTGTGGCTTCCTATATTTTACTTATTAGAAGAATAAAACGAATGGCACGTTGGAAATTGACAACATCTATTCAAACACCTAATAGAAAAATGACAAGATTAGTGATTGGAGTTGTTGCAGCTTTTGTAGCTCTTCATACACCACTTTACATAATGGAAATTGTTCAAATGACCAAAAAAATGGAAGCTTCTAAATCAAACATGGAAGCGGAAGAGTGGGAAGTTTACGCCTTTGTATATTGTAATCTCATAGCCCAAATGGCTGTATACATTAATTCGGCATTAAATCCTATTCTTTACTTTCTACTTAACGAAAACTTCAGTAAGTCTCATCTTTACTTATTTATTTATATTTTAGGAAATACTACATAATTGATATTTAGCCATGTTTATTCCTTTAACTAAGACTTGAATAATAATTACTCTTTTAAGGCTTTAAGGACCACATGAGTACAGGAGTTATTAATAATTTAATACATAATATTCGTAACATATTGGTAAACTCTTGTAAATTTAGTTTGTATCTAGGACACTGTTTGCATGTATTTTTTTTATGAAGAACGCATTTCTTAATTATCTGATAACATATTCTAATGAAAAAGAAATTACCGCTAGGAAATTTTGTACAAATCTGTGACCATTCTCTAACAATAAACGTGTTTATTTTTTTTAATAGAATAAGATAATTATCAGACTTTTAACTGTAAAATGTATAGAATTAAACTGTATATACTTGCAGATTGTAAACCAATTTTAAAGTTTTTATTTCTATTTCCTTTAAAAAAATTATATTGAGTAACTTAAAATAAAATGAATTGATTCAATATCTCTTTTCAATAATTAACACCTTTTTCAGTAATCTAAAACTGCAATTTCAATCTTTTGTCCATATTCCATAGTTTCGTATTATATTTTTAAAGAGAGACATATATATATATATATACTGTATATATACTGATTAAATATTAACGTATTCGATTTTTAGAAGAGTAAAGCATACATTTATGTGTGTATGAATATAGACGTTATGTTACTGTACTGCTCTTCAAGGAAAGTCAGAGTTAAATCAGTTCTCTCTACTCTTGGAATCATAACTTTCATAAATATATTCTACTCTATACCATAAAACCTAAGTGAAAGAAGAAAGGGATAGACGTTTTAATCGTGTTCTTTTATTAGCCAGAACAATGAGAGAGTATAAAGATCTTCTTACAATTATTCTTAAATGTCAAATGTCTATAAGGGATAAATATCTTTTTCATAATTTTTCATATTAATTTAATGATAATCTTAGAGATTAGTGGAATAAGGGAGAAAAAAATTAAATTAAAGATTAATAAAGAAGAGATTATTTGTAAAGATTCGAGATGAATGATGAAGCATTATAGAAATTGATGAGATGGGTCGCTATCTACGATAAAATTGCTTCAATATAGTTTCTTCATCAGTTTGATTAAATGACATATATGTTGTTGGGATTCTTTCTTTTAGGATGGGGATTCATGAAACTTAAAAATCTGTGATATTTTCTATTCTACTAGGAAAAGAGCTCAGTAACTAGTTTAAAAGGAGTAAAAATTCTCTTAGGATAATAAGAGAATAAATGTCATTTCCGTAAATTTTAACAAATTAATAAGCAATTTTTTAATGCTAATTAGATTCATAAACGCATTGAGTTACCAATTTTTTTTTAGTTTTCCAGTATTTTATGTTATAAAATTAGCATCATTTATTATTCCAATTGTCAAATAAAATATCACCTAAGCTTCCTTTTAATACAACAACCAGATGTATTCACCATTGTGTTTTTACAATACTCGACTATTTATCTTACAGTATAAATTGACAAATCGCAGAAATACAGCATAATAAGAACGATTTTCTGAGAAAACTATAAAAAAAACGTCACTTGGACTTTAACAGCCAAGACTTTCATTAAATATTGCATGAAATAGATATATATCTGTAGGGTATATAATATACAGTCTATGTACATAAGCCAGTTAAGCTGGGTAGAAAATTAAGTACACTCATATACTCCTTTTAAGAGCTTAGCAAAATTCATATTGATGATATTGATAAACTCATAAGCGAATTGGTGGTTGTTTCTTTATAGTTCAGAATGCATGGAATAAAGGTCCATTTGCTCCTTACCTTTCCTTTCTATACTCTTAAATATTGTTAGCAATAAAATGCTTTTGAGATGAAGACTACGAATGCATCTAATATTTTAACCTTAACCTCATATAAAACCCTAGATCTTTGTAAAAGAACTAGAAAAGCGTTACTAACGAAAAAACTTGATATAAGTTTGATATGAAATTGTCAACATACCAGGAAACATAAATATTTAATTAAACTGAACAATTTTTCTTTTTAGTTGTTCTACTTATTTGAAAACTACTTTTTTTTGCTTGGTATTAAATTATTACATTGTCATGCTTTGTTAACTATTCGTATTGACTTGGTTTAAGGTTTATAAGCTTTCCATGAGGTTTCGTGAATAATTAGACTAATTGGGTGAATCTTCAATGCTCTAATACAAGAATAGCGCAATTTTTTAGCATAATTTAAACAAATTATTCATTTTAAGAGATATTTATATATATATTGTTATACAAGTATTTTTCGTTGTTAACTATGAATAATAAATGTAAAATTTCCAAGAATTTCAAAGAAAAGATATGATAAAGAAAACTAAAAAAGAAATACTTAATATTATACTCTTTCTATTACGAATTCAATAATTATTACAAATACTTTTATCCGGTTATTCCACTCTAAAATGAATTTCTTACTTAAGAAGAGTACCTAACCTAATCTTTTTAGCTGCAAAGTTTGCAACTGATGTTGATCCAAACTTACTTTACAAATAAGAAAAATTCAATTTAACGTATTTCGTTCATAGTAAACGAACCGGAAATTGACTGAAATATATATGCATAATAATTTATTCTCACCTACAATAAACTATAAAAAAAAAAAAGCCGAATTGAAAAAATATCAATTTATATTATTTTTTATCCTTTGATGTTAAACTTCATTGGAAAATAAGACAGAATCAGAAAAGAGAGTTACAACGACTTGGCACCTATCCAGAGAAGTATGCTGTAAGCGTTTTTTTTTTGTAAGGCGAATACGTGTTTTATCAAATGACGATTTCCAAATTACCTCCATTATCCTGATGCTTTCCTCTCTTTTCCTTTACATTTTATTATCTAATCGAATTGATAAGATATAAGGTTATTTTTCTTTTTATGTTGTATCTATAATGTTTACTATTTTTGTTCCTTATTTAAGATTTTCCCATTCCAGTTCTATCATTTAATTTATTCTTGCATTTCTGAAAAAATTTTAAAAGAGTAATCAATTAAAAAATTAAATTAAAACATAAAAAATCTATATATTTGTAACAAAAATTTGATGCATTTCTTTTTTCATCATCAGTGAAATTACCCTAATTCAATTTTTTCTCTTTACTTATTGATTATCATTATTATTGGATAGAGAGAAAGGTGAATAAAGCACTTTAATAAAAAATTGTCAAGCATTTCTAGAGAAACATCATTTAAAAAGTAATTAACATAGTAATTATATAAAGTAAAGGTATATCCGCTTCTATTATTCAACTAAAGAATAGATTTATTGTTATTATTATAAAATCCTTTTTAATTAAGATAAACTATTATTCATTTATAGTTATTATGAAAGTTCCTTAGAGGTTAATGCTCTACTTGTTTTTTCGACTATTGACTGATGTAACGCATTTTTCAATGAAAATATTAGCAATTAGCAATTTATTCTACTCTTTTTTAGCTATTGATTAAAAATTTCCACGAATTACATATTCTATCTTCTGATTTATGGATTATTGTATGCCAGGGGAGAAAAAAAATGATAAAATTAGAAATGAATACTATCTATCATTAACTAAGAATGGTTAAAGAAATAAGTATCTCTTTGAATAAATCTATTAATAAATACGAAAGAATTATAGTATAATACACTTTATAATATGTATAAAATTATGCAACAAATTAATGCATTGAGTTATGGAAAGTTTTAAGTACTCACCCTCATTGCAAAATATATACTTCAAAGCATCATTATAAAGCATTGGTACTTGTAATATTTTGATTATTGATTCGCTCTTATACATACTGTTATCTATCCATTAATTTATTGTAGACAGCATTCTCTTACAGTTGCAATCATAACATGATTTTCCATTATAAATGGAAAAAAATTAACATGTTGTTTAAGTAATGAAATTGCCAAACATTTTAATTTTAAATTGTATAGAGAAGCGGTTTTTTGTGCCTATTCTTTTCCTGGTTTCCCATTCAAAAATATTCATTCATCACCCATTTTCCATTATCTCTTTCAGTAGGTAATCAAACTACAAACGTAATTTATTTTATTTCTGGGTTTTACCTGTTACATTCGCTAACGTATGGCTTTTAAACTATATAATTAACAGTATTAAATGAAATACACCTAATTTCCTTTTTAATAGATATTTTGCTGATATCATCCTTTCCAGCATCTTAATTTTTGATGCTGTTAGCAAATTTTAATAAAAGCTTAGTAATGGTTAATGAATACTTAAGAAAATTTATTAGTTTACATACACCTTATTTATCTTATTCATTTGTTATACTATGTTAGAAGGCTGCTGCAATATTAGATAAAACAATGAGATAGAATTAAGCTCATATTATAGTGCGTTTCGGTTCGTTTATTAAATTCTTTCGTCTACCTAATATTTAGATTAAATAACATAATTGCCTGAGAAACTGGCATTTACAAGAAAAGCGTAATTCTGTAGACATTCAGTGTCTACAACAAATACTAAAATCTAAATTATTGGACATTTTCATTGAAAATGAATGCAATTATTATAAAAACACTATTGAAGTCTTTTATGTAAAAAGAAGAAGAGATGAAAATTCTTGATCAATATCTATGTACCAATTAGGATAAAAAAATCTGCCCACTAGAAGCAAATTTTTATCAATTGATAAAAAAGAAAGCAGAATTGCAATAAATGTATAAATGGAGGTTATTTTTTATTCTTAATGTATCTAATTAGCAAATGTATCCACCTCGTTGTCTAGAAAAATTATTGGTAGATTGTTTCAAGAAAACGGAATACAATTAGAGAAAAATTCAGTCGCTTGATGACAACTCAGCGCATCCTCTTGCTAACGGTTACTTTGCGTGCCGGTTAAACCTTCTATTAGTAAGAGGTTTGTAAAGGAAAAAAAAACATCTTCTTTACTACATTATTACTAAATACTTTAAGAATGTGATATCAACAGGTGTCCTTATACTAAGAGCAAAACGTAAAAATAATATAGAAATCTATTGATTGTCCTTTAAATGTGTTTGTCTGATTTTTTAATTATGAATCTTGTAAGGCTCATTTTCGGGTTATAACCGTTAATTTAACGTGAAAAAGTTCAATCAAACGCGAATTTTAACTTACATTTCCTTAGTAATAAAGCTATTGATAATAAAATTTACTTAGTAAAATGAAAGATTAGAAAGTGGTCGGTCTGACCATTCATAAAAAATAAATAGTATTTCTATTAGGTAGATGCATTTATATCTAATAATTTATTTCTTTCTTTTTCGTCGTTAGGGAGAATGTATAAGATGACTCTCTGCCCTCAAACCAAGGCTAATAACACTACTAATAATGGAATTGAATTGAATATCATTCGACATAATGGTTCTGATGAAATTGAGACCAAACCAAAAAAGTGCGATTGTTTGCCTTTAATTGTTGGTACGTCTCTCAGTAGACGACGCAAACAACATCAGCAACTACAAATTGAGATGACAGAAGACGAGACAAGGCATACAGCTTGTTTTGACCATAAAAACAACTATAAATGACAAGTGCTGCCATCTGTTTAACCAAAAAGGTGTATCATTGTGTTTTGTATATATATATGAGATATATAAAATGTATCTTATTACTGACATTCTCCGTGAAGCTTTTCTTGATTTCTTCCCTCACTTCATTTAACCATACGTCACAATCCATTCGTCAATCCATCTGTACATCTGTCTGCTTCTCATTCTGTTTCCATTAAACGTATGTGATTTTTGGTTTAATTACAATCAGACCTTTCTTTAAGATGGTTTGTTCCTAAACACTACACATACGCAAAATACTAATATATATATAAATTTTATATATATATATATATATATATATATATATATATATATAAAGTTATGCTTTATTGTTACATATGTTATCAAGTTCTTTTGCTCAAAGGCATACATGCTGTTGTTAAAACTTGCAAATAATGTAAAAAAGGGGCAGATTGATGAACTAGGAATGCTGACAAGTATATAGTATATACTGTATGTATATAAAATATACTCCTTTATTCCCAGTATACGCAATACCGTAAGATGGTAAAATATCAAAGAGTTTTTAGACCCAAAATAAGGTAAACAACTTCCGGATTACTTTCATTTATATACAATAATGTGATATTTTTCAATATTTATATTATAATGCATATTTATAGCCCATAAAAACTAAACTAAAGATCTTAGGCCTATAATTCTATTTTTAATGATAGCTTTTTTTTGCCACTTCTTCTAGATTTATTTCCAATTAGATTGTTTTATTTACACTAACTGAAAAAATGCACAGCCTCATAGGCTATCCATGAATATTTGAATCGAAAAGTTCAATTTTCTTTTGTACTTTGGGCCGACACGAACTTTTTAGTTTTAACATTTCGCTGTTAAATTGTCTGTTAAGTGCTTTACTGTTGTTAAATTTGCAATACACGGCTTTCCGGTTCAGTTGCTACTTTCTTACCTATCGGTAATCATTTTTGGGTCATACAATTGTTGTCGATTCTGTTTTCTAAAGAATTGAATCGTTACTTGAATCAATTAGCAACAAAAGATCTCTTTTTTTTCCTTCCATTTCTTCTCGTTTCCCTCCTTCTTATTTAGTTCATCTTTTACCTTCATTTAAAGTTTAGACGTGTATTTACACTAGCTAAATAATACTCTTTCATAATGATAATTGCCAATAATCAGATAAAAATAAACCCTCTTTATATTAGTGATTAAAAACTATCAAAGATAATTACGCAAGCTCGGTTTATTTCTTAAGAAAAAAGAAATGACAGTCATAAGCATGTACGCTTTGAATATCTTCCAAGAGATTATTAATATTGCTACTGAGTAATTTAATAATATATTTTTTATTTTTTTTATCTCGTTTACTCCCGAATAGAATCAATTTTCAATGTGGAAAACAACAAGAATAAAATCTGTTTTTAAAATGAACAGTACTCACGTTTAATATTAAATACAGCTCTTTGTTATATTTTTTGTTTTGTTTTCATATTGTAGAAATTGTATAAAACAGTAAAATATTAATTTATTTATGTCCTTTTTTTATGTTTCTTTTTTAAGTTTGCACGAATTTTTGTTTATATACAGGGCCTCTTTTTTATAGTAACAGTCTTTATATATATATGTATATATATTCCTTTTTTTGATTTTGTTGAATTTCTCTCTTTATCAATTGCTATTAGTTATGAACATTTAGCAATTTCTCGTTTAATCGCCTTCTCCAAGTTAACTTTGTCGCCCAGGTGATGAACACCAATTTCCTGCAGTTCGTCTCTACCTAAATCGGCTAAAACTGTACCATTTATTTTGTGATATACAAAGTTTTCTTTATATTCGCTCATTTGAATGCGATCTAACCAATCCGCTACGTCAACAATTGACCAATCATTTATTGTCTTATCCGGTTCCATACTGGATAAAGTTGATAGTGTAGAGAGAGACGATACGACGCTGGCAGTCTCTCCATCATCTATGGAACAATCAAAGAGGGGTGGAGGAGGTATTATATCGATATTCATTAAATCGCTATTAGATGCAAGAAATTCAGGGGGAGGGGGTGGTAGGTCAGAGAGTGAGAAAGGCTTTTGTGATGCTTCAGAGTTGCTGCTCTCAATAGAAGATGATCTGGATAATTTCTGATATCTAAGAGGTTTTGGCGGAATAACTGGTGGTTTGGAATCCTTCCTCTCTTCTAGACGCTTCTCAATCTTCTCTAATTTAGCCATCCTTTCAATTCGCCTCTTTTCCATGTCACCAAACGCAGATTTTATGTCAATCTCAAGGGATCGACTTTTAAGTATACTCTTGGGTTTTGGTTCAGAATTTGGAGATGGAGCCGGATAGTTTGGTGGAGGAGGTATTAATGGTGGTGTGGGCGGAGCTTCATTGGGCCTTGGTGGTATAGAGGTCTCACTATATCGTCTCCTTTCGACATGCTTTCTTCTGTAAAACTCGGAATCGCTTTTCCTTCCTTTAGTATTTAAATCATCCAAATGCTCGTAGACACTAGACTCCATTCGAACTATAGTTAAAATGATCTTTTCTGTCGACGAATTTATCAGACTTATCACTTCTTCGTGACTCCCTCTGGAAACGTCGACAGTGTTTATTTCCTTTATGTAATCGTTTGCTTTTAAACCAGCAAGATCTGCAGGACTATCAGGTTCAATTCTATAAACGTACTGAAGAAATGGTTGCTGAGATTTTTCCGAGCTACTTAGCCCATTAGCTGTGACGGTTGAAATAAAATTTGGTTATAGTTGCTTATGAATAAATTTGCTAATAATCCTCTTTTTTTAGTAAACCAGTTAATCACACCTATGAACTCAACGGGTAGATAATTAATGCAGTCATTGATTTTTTTTTGTGTTGCTACGCTGATAATCGATTAGCCTATAATTTTTCATTATAGTCAAATGAAAACTGGTCGATTAAAAAACTACATGACAAATACACTGGATACTTTCAGTAGCAGAAAAAAATTTAATTTTTCCCATTTACTCTACGTTCGATTATTATGCTTTCTTCTTTAATCTTTGTACTATCAAAGCCTATTCAAATAGCAAAACAGACCCTTTTTTCACTTTACCATTTATATATATGCCTATATTTACTATATTTTCTCTACTTGAAGTTTTCAATTCATTTTATTTTCGTATACTTTACTTTGCTATGAGATCAAGTCAAAATTATTAAAATAGCGTATTTAAACTTTTGGTGAGATTATTTCTTTCTTTCAATGTAAAATACAATCGTAATAAGAATATAAAACTTGCTTAATTCGAAACCAAATAGCAACTAATTTTCTCTATTTATACTACAGACAATTATAATATTTTTCCTCTGGGCTGTGTATCTTAAAAAATGGTATTTCGAATGTTCTTGTTCTCTTTATATTTCTTTTTGTAAATAAATAAAAAAAATACTATATTTCTTTCTTAGTGATATCGTTTTACGGACAAGATCAAGGACAGGTGTTTTAAGTATTTTCTATGTATTATTTGATTAAACTTTTACTGGATATAAATAAAAATAAAAAACATCCTTAAAATATCTACTTCGTGATCCAGTTAACTGACACGATTGTAGTACGATTTCTGAAATCGTAAAACATGTAAAAAAAAAAAATAAGACATAAGCTGTCATCTCAAGCTTTGGACGTCTCTTCTGCCTTTTCCTAAATTGTTCTTTCAGATTGGAAATTTTCTTACCCTTTTTAAGAGTAATACTGAAAAATGAAGGGTACTTTCTCCCTTCCTAATAGTACAATAAAAATTTGCCGCCCCTGCATTTTTGCGGTAAAGGGAAAAAAAAATTATATTTGTTCCCTTTCGAAGTGTCACGCAAATGAATAATATTTTTCTAATATTTTATATACTTTGTTAGCTTTTCGTTCAAGAATTCAATATTTAAATACCACGCAGTTGTTGATTCATTTTTATGCAACATGACACAACAGATGCATTGTTAAAATAATTCTTATATACAAATAAATGTATCTATCTATCTTTCACATTAACAAGCAGAATGTCTTTTTTTCAATAACTAATCCCTTCAAAATGTATTGGAATTTTCTATTGAAAAAACTCCAAAGAGGTAAAAAAGTAAAATATCATACTATATAACCATTTACTAATCTTTATAGAGGCTTTTGATAAAGATCTCTCTTTCTTAGAGTAAGTAGCTCATTGCTTAGAAAATTGCATTCAATACTGCTAAAATACTTGATTAAAACTGTTATATAAAATCAATTTCACCTATGCTAGGAAAAAGAGCTCCAATCAAGTCTTTAAATAGAATTGAATAAATACATCAAGAAGAGAAGAATTGTTAATATTCGCACCCAAGCCTATTTATAACCAACGGAAAAGTGTTTGTAAACTTTAATATCCTCTTACTAAGGTATTTTAACGTAATACAATCGTTTTTTTTTATACTTTTTGTTGAAAATTTCTTTAACGAATGGAAGATAGTTTTGAAACTTACCTTTAAGTCCTCGAACAATGAAACCGTAGCCTTGAGCATTTTTCCGTATTAAAATTGTTTTTGAACTTGAATTTACTCGTCTGAAGAAAGGAAAATGATCTTAAAATTACTAATTAACATAATAACAGTGTCTTCTATCCTTTTTATGTTTCCTGTAAACACCAACTTTTCCTACAGGTTTAAATTTTCATTTGGCCTTCCCTAATAACTACATTTTCAGTCGACACATAAAAATCATACAGGCCTATATCAATAAATAGGAACTCTAGAGAACTGTTTATTACCTGAACTTAGGTAGTCTGGGAATTGTAAAGAAAATAACGGATTCTTTGTTTACATCCACCAAATTTGGAACGCTTTTTGACCTAATTATTGTAGTCTTGTCCCTTTTTCTGCGAACTCTTTTGGGATATTTTTGTATAACGTCGATAGGAGTATCTTTGCCGATATCATAATTTATTTCCTGTTTTAAGACACATTTCCTTATCCTTCTATCAAATCGTCCGCAGATACCGTCAGAGTGGGCGCTCAAAGTCGGGATTCTCGAAAATTGAAAGTGTTTTAACACTATTTTATGTCTCTCATCAGTCCATGTTCTATCAACAAATACTTCCTCCGGCATTTTTTTCATGGGTTTTCCGAATACTAAGCGTTCATATCAAATAAAATGGCGACGTCACATACTATCCAGGTGTAGTACTCTCTGATTCAGAAAATGACGCGTGCCGTTTATACGGTTTTAAAAGGTACGGGAAATCGATTGCCGTATTGAAGTCGCTATTGTTCGCAAATAGATGGCGTACTTGTAGTCGGAGAAAGTTTAATACTTACCCTATTTTAAGTTTAAACGCCTTTAGTTCCTCTGTCAGCGTCTTCCATGAAATGCTTTTGTCCATGCGTATATATGGGGATGTATGTAGTGACTGCTATGTAAAATGTAGTATAAATTGATTTCATAGAAGTTTCCATAGAGACGCCTTCAGAGATAGACACACCCAAGGTCGCATTCATCCATAACATAGTAAAATATTACTTTCTTTTTAAAGAATATTAACATAATAAATCTTAAAATATTATTAATTTTGTTAACCTCTTCCAATAATAATTAAGACAAAGGTAAAGGAACAAAGCATCCTTAAAAATCATTTTAATTGTTAATTTATTAGTAATTTATTCTTTAAGTAAATTAGGCTTCCCTTTTTTCTATTCGTTTTTGTTTTTACTTGGAAACAACTAACTTAAAATAATTTGCGTTCCTCTTCACGTATGTCGAAGGCATTTTCTTTTTTTTTCATTTCTATAGTGGCGCCATCTTTTTCGTAAAAGTTCCCGCTTTTGTTCTGCAGTTTTAAGTCCGACACTGGATAGGAATCTTGCGATATCGTAAAGTTTTTTTCTCTCCTCAAAATACAAGGTAAGAGAATAGTAATATTTCTTCTAATAATTAATTTAGCCTTTATTAGTAATGTTTTGTTTTTTAGGATATGAGATACGAACATTTTTTTTTAAATGTAGAAATTTACTAATGTATTTAGATATTTGATTAAAATTTTAGCATTTATATTGAGCAATATTTCGTAAAATTAGGAAAAAAGAGGATTAATTAATATGCATATATACAGTATATATGAGTTATATTATATATATATATATATACTGTATATTTTACATATTTAGTTTATACATACAAATATAGATCTATGTAAACTTTACAGCAACTGTCTTTTGCCAATTCTCCAATTTTCTCTAAATACATTGTACACATATACTGCACATTTACAGTATATTCTAGCTTGTGATAGCACAGATCATAGTATTTACAGATATCGAACTAACGACTGATGTTATTACTTAAAAGACAAAAAATTCTTTCTTAAAGAGATTGAAAAGTGGATATAGACTTTATGAAAATTTATGATTCAAAGCTTACTAAAATTAGATGAAAACTTGAAGTAACAAAAGAGATAAGAATTTAAAGGAAAGAAAAAAGAATATTTTTTTATCTTCCATATATTTTTGAGAAGATGAAATGCTCCTTCTTCTTCCACCGAAATTTGTAAAAGATTAAAGTCTTAAGTCTAGCGGAAGTTAGGAGTATGCGTGAGAGAAATATGAAATTCGAGTAAAAAGGTTGTAAAAGAAAAAATTGGTAGATTGAGAAAGAGAAAATATAAGAAAAATATACAAATTTCGACATAGTAAAATTACATATGGACACAATGAAAATAAATAAGAAAGGTATAATAATATACTATATACAGTATATATATATATATATATATATATATATATATATTTATAAAACTGTAAATGAAAAGTTAACAGGTTAAAGGGTGGGAATTGATATGAATATATCGATTAATTATCTTGACAATATAATTTAAAACCTTTTTGGAAAATTTATTAGCTGTTTTTAAGGTTTTAAAAGCTTTGCGGTTGGAGAAAAATACTTACGGGACTGTTATTTCTACAATAATTGAATTTCACGTATGGGTTCAGTCGGAAACCCTTTAGTAAATGTTACAATTCATCTCATATCTTTTACAGCCTTTTACTTAGAGAAGCTTTGTTGCGACTATTGAACGAGACTTTATTTTTTTTTCATTTGCTAGTTTTTATCTATATCAATTAAATGTTTATGAATAAAGATTGAAAGTTAAAGAGCAAATTAGATTATTGAATTTTTAATAATACTTGGATGAGGTCTATAATTAGATAGGAAGTATTGCAAGATGAAAGAGATTAGGATGTAAAAAAATAACAAACTGAATAGTGAATACTGTAATTAAGAATTTAAATTATGGAAGAAAGTGAATAATTTTCCAAAGGTAAGGAAAGTAAAAATTGAAACAATGAGTCTTTACGACAAATGCAAAGTAGACTGTTTCATGCTTATGTACTATTTTATCCTCTTTTTTGTAATATATTGTGTCTGTCAATTACATTTATATAAATATATGTGTATCTATATAAATTTATATATACAACATATGTGTATGTATATATTAACCTCTTTAGGAATGATATAGGTAATTACAAGGAAAATTACAACAATCTTCAGAATAATCTAATTGATTTTCATGTAGTGAATTGCAATATCTCTAAAAATCATTTGAGTTTATTCTATTTGAAATTAATGTCAATTTGGAACTTTAGACTATGTAGGTAGAGCTATTTTTAACAATCATTTATACTGTTGATTAATTACAGGTCGAAACTATTTAACTGTATCATGCAGACTGATGTAAATTCAACACGGAATATTACAAATAACATCCCAAATAGAGGTATTTTACCTCACCAAACGGAAATCGTTACGACAATTTATTCTCTCTTACTGTTGGCGGGATTCGTTGGTAATCTAATTGTTATCGTTTCACTACTAAAGTACAAGAACACCCGATTGCAATCGGTTGCCAATACTTATATACTAAACCTGGCTTTTGCCGACATGTTATTCATACTTACAATGCCATTTTTTATTGTTTCGTCTGCTGACAAATCACTGGCGTTGAACACTGGATGGTGTAAAGTTGCTAACTCCTGCCGAGAGATTAATAAAGTGGCAAGCGTTTTTACACTTGTCGTTCTGAGCTTCGACAGGTATTTAGCGTCCTATCTAACAAAAACACATTTAAGATCGCAGACTGTTGGAAGATACGCATGTATAATGATTTGGATCGTGGCGATAATCTTTTCTATTCCCTATACGGTTTTTGCTAAAACGGTACCTTACAAGAGAAATAGACTTTGTCGCATAGATTGGCCAAGAGGAAATGCGAGGATCTATGACATTGTTCACACAATACTCCAAGTTATCCTTGCTTTTCTTTTGCCTCTCTTCTTCATCATATTATCATACGTTCTATTGTTGAAACGATTGAGAGACTTAAGTATGAAAAAGAGCATTTCATCCGTTCAAAAACCGAATCATAAGAGAACTAGGAGAGTGATTCAGAATATGTTTAATTTTTATATCATAAAATTTAAATATTAGCAAATAGTGAAATATTTAAAAGATTTGATACTTTCATTTTTTATATCCGAAATCTAATTCCATAAGGCAAAAAGGATTAATTTTTTTAATGTTAATTAATGGGTTTTATACTAACTGCAAAAAAATTTAATCTCTTCTTTTGTTAGCCTTAAACTACATTTTTAATTATTCTTTACTTTTTATTATATACTGCCTACATTCTTTCTATCACTTATTTCAATAACAATAGAATTAAACCATCCCACTTTATGGTAAACTTCTATGAGATAAAGCATGAAAAGTATACTTTCCTTTTTTTCTCTGTACTTTTTATTAACTTTAGCATAAGCTAAAAAAATTAATAATGACTAACTATACCAGCGCTTTAATGGTACTTCTGTTGGAGATCGGTTGGAAATCTAAATGAATTGTAGCAGGGAACTCTTATAGGTCAAAAAAAAATCCACAGTTTGACAAATAGTAAAACATATTTTGCCCTCTAAATTGGAAAAAAATATACTAGAGGGAAAAGAGAAAGAATAATCAGTATTAATAAATTAATACATAAATATTAATTTGCTGATATAAAAAGAGAGAAGTAATGTTTTTCCCCTTCACCATTCTATCTCAAATTGTATGTAAATTAGAACTTTTACGGCCCTTACTCTTTAATAATATAGTAGTTAGCTTACAAAGAACAAACTATAATTGTTTGCCCTTGTGGTAACTTTTTCAACAACTTACTCTATGTAGAGATTATAAAAGTATTTTTATTTTTAGATGAAAAAAGGTTATAAAAAGGAAAAACTGCAATGGAACCTTCTTTCTAAATCTATTCGTTTATTAAAGCAAACAAAAGTTTAAAAGAAAAAATAGAAGTAAGGCAGAAAAATTTCTCCTGCTCTAAATTACAGTGTATAAAGTTACTATACTTTTATATCAACAAATAACATTATACAAAATACAACATGCAGTAGACATATTTTGCAGTATATTTTAATACAAGTCAATTTTTCTTTTTGAAGTACGTTTTATACAGTATATCATAGACTACAATGATTTCAGCAAAAGAAATAGGGTTGTTTATTTATAATCTCTGTCGTTTATAAATTATTCAGAAGGAAACATATAAGCTGCGATATATACATATATAAAGCATATGTAGTATACAGGCGAAATTTTGACATGTTGTCAAAAACTATTAAACTATTTATATTTCATCTCTCTTTAGCTAATTATTGTAAACAAAAGTAAGATTCAGTGAAAGACAAAGTTAAAATAGAGGACTTTATCTTTAATTGGGCCATGACATGAATATTTCTTCTTTTGTATGCGAAGCTATAATTTGCATTTTATTGATTATGGAAGACATTTTTATCTAAAATGGAAAAAAAATAAGTATATTACAAGACTGTAATGTATAATATTGAAAAACTATATATTCAATCAGAAAAGCGGAAAACCCTTCACGACACAAGTTGTCAAAAGTATGTTAAAAATAGAAAATTAAGTATATTAGTTAGTATTTTTAAATTAAATATAAATCGAAATTAAAAATGACTAAAATTATAAAAAAGATTCTGTAGACGAAACAGACCTGATTGTCTTTCTCTATCTGTTTATTTAACGAATTATAATCTATTTTCAGTGATAAAACTAGTAAAAATTTCCACCTCTACCCTCAACCCCCCAAACCTCCTCTCTCTCCCCATTATCGGCAATTGCTGAATTCTCATTAGTTTATACTGCCTTACGACTGTCTGGCAAGATAAACGATTGTTTAGCC